ACGTACGTACGTACGTACGTACCGTACGTACCGTACGTACGTACGTACGTCGTCGTCTCTCTCTCTCTCTCTCTCTCTCTCTCTCTCTCTCTCTCTCTCTCTCTCTCTCTCTCTCTCTCTTGATCTTCCTATATACATGTGTGGGTGTATGTATTCCTGATTCTGTGTAGAGAACGAACTGACACGCGCGCGCGTGCCGCTAATGCACACGCTTAGATTGAACGTACACCTTGACAGGACTGGTGCCAGTACACGTATGCATGTATATCAGTAGATATGTACAGAGCAGCACAACAGGGTCAAGTCAGCCTGATAGCTCATAAGATCAGGTATACGGAATGTATGGGGTCAATGGATACACTTGCACCCACAGTTTCGCCCAATCTCCCGACACTCAGCTTTATCATGTTCATTACAATCGCAATCATATATCCGAAAACGTTCAAAATGCAAAAAGCGTATTATTTCTCTCGTCTCTTAATTCACACTTACGCCCTTCCGCATTTCCAGAGGTGATTTAAACGATAGATTAGCTGAGCAATTCAGCCGTCGTTGCGTTAAAGACATCAAAATGACGGAAGAATCGCACGAATCTTTGTTTCATTATTTTATTGTACAATACATTGTGACTACAAAAACGTTTGTAAAAATATAACTTTATTATTATTTATTTATAATGTTGACGATATAATTATCGAAGATTAATTGCGATTCCGTCACTATCTGCTTGTTTGCAGTCATCTTTCTATACTTAACGAGTAATAAGATCAAGATTAATGGTATCAACATGTGCTTTTTTACTGCCCTTCGCGTAGGACACGTATCAGATAATTATTCTTATCCGGGATATCAACCCAGTCACGTGTGTGTGTGTGTGTGTGTGTGTGTGTGTGTACCTAGAATACACAACGTTCAGACTAATACATCACGCGAGGAGATATTGATGGATAAACAGTTATATGCGCATGTAGGCAAATGCATTTACACATATCTGTAAATATACATATATGAGCGATATACATATAGCAGCGCTCAGTTCGAGAGAAACGCCAGCAGGCGTATGCAGGCACATCGTCTGACGTACATGTCCTGCCGATGTTACGCGGTATAGTTGACGGTATAGCTGACGAGCCATCATCGGCGTTGCCAGGTGGTCATATGACGGGATCACACGAGGGTTTACGACAAAAGAGTTGGCGTTCTAGAGAATGTTACATTTTTACATCGAGCAGATATGGTTGGATTTCTGTGCAAGAGCAGATTGGCCGGAAAATCTCTAAGCGACCGTTTTATCGTTGGAGCCCAAATCTCCTTGATTTTCTACGTGAATACAGAATGCTTTTTACAGCTTTTAACTAAAAATTTTATAAAACGCGCGTGGAAAAATATATTTAAAAATTCTTAATAATACTCTGTAACGTCATTATCATAATATCTGTATATAATAATTATATTTGAATGCTTAATATTACATTTATTTATTTGATCATAAATGCATTATTCAAATTTGACTGAGCACGATTATTATAAATTTGGAGGCAAAATTTGAATGTATTATTTTAGAATTATTAATGTATTAGTTTTTACAGAAGATATAATATATTGAAATATGTAGATTTCTCGCGGAATTTTTATGGATACTGTTATATACGTATAATATTTTCTATAATAGCGTGGAAAATAAAGCGTTAATGATCTTCTCTACGCTATTATAAAAATATCGTAACAAAATTTTGAAACATTGTATTTCTTGAACTAATAAAAGTAAATAAGAAATATTTATTGTATTTTATATATTTTTTTGTCGATGTAATATATAAAGAAAATGATAAGTTTAATACTTGGCACCAGACAATCTTTCCTTCGACTGCTATATACATTTATGTTTCCAACAAAATGGAAAATATATTGCATAAAAAATATATCGAAAAATTTTGATGTTTATCTAGTTATGTATTTTTTACGTGGCGTCGACCAAAGTCATTGGCAGCCCGGCCTTAGATATTATTAATGCAAATAGTAAGATAATATTTGATAACACGTGCAACGATCAGTGTTAGACTTTGGGAGAGTATCAATGATGAGAGAGAGAAAGGGGGAGAGGGAGAGGAAAAAAAGACAGACCGACGAATTCACGTTGCAAATGTGTTTTTAATGAGAACTTAACTTGTCCGATCGAACGTACGAATCTCGTCGTACGCGATATCGCTACTAAACGATTCTCTTTGCGGAGTTAGAGCTTTACGATCCAACAAGTCCAATGATTTCCCTTCGCGTCGTTTCTCTTCGGCGCTTTTACAAGCTCGAATCTAACGCCATTATCGACGCCGCAATTTTGCCATAAATGTCAAAAGAATATTATACGCATATAAAGCAACTATAAAGTAAATGAGTAAATGGAAAAAGCTCTTTAATATAAAATTATAATGAGAATGGAAGATCCAGTCAGAATTTAAGCCAAGTTGTAAGTGCATGCGTAAATATTAGCTTATTGCTAATTATAGTTATAATGGTTTTTACAGCTGTAAGAGCTAGTAAAAAAATGCATGTAAATGTTAAAGCGTTAAAGAGTTAATCATGTCAGAATAATCGTTTTTATTTCGAAGTTTTATCAATAACTTAATAAATAAATTACGAGTGGCAATAAAGTATATATGTACGCATAGATGAACTAAAATTAAGTAACAAAAAGGCAATTATACTGTAATAATGTAGCTTTTATTATTCCGCAGAGTATTGTAACTTTAGTTAATTTGTTCATTATTTCTAAAAAGTCTATTTCAAAAATAAATGTTCTCGTTATTTCTATTTTAATATAATAACATATGCATTCGAGCAATATATTATCATAATAATGACTTGTGCATTTCGCTGAATACACAAATGTGCAGACAATTATTATATAAGATATACATAATATAATATAAATTTCTTGTGCAATCTTTTTATAATCGATCCTGAGTATTGATATTAATCAAATTAATGTCAAGCATATATGTATTTCAAATTGTTAAATGCATTATATGCGTGATTTTATTTTTTTTATGTTTTTCAAGTTTTTTACAATATTTTATATGAATATCTAGCAATATCAGGTTCGAGTCATATTTCATGTGTTAGATATGCGCTGTGTGTGTGTTAGATATGTATTTAATATATCTTTGGATTGTCTCTAGTGCTACACGTGTGCTTACTCTTTTATATCGCAAGAGATACATCAGTTCTTATTCTGCAATTCCAATTGTATCTCTTCCAAGGTTTTACCTTCGGTCTCTGGCACAAATAAGTAAATTAATATCCATATAAGAAATGTTATCGCGGCGAATGTCCATAATGGTGCGAACGTGCCGTATAGTTCTTGCACGACCTACAAACAGTACAAATATATTCTACCATTGCATTAAATTTAACAATATGATGTTCAGTAATGGAAAAGATAAAGAGAATCGTAATTACATAATATTATATTTCAAGCATGCGATAAGTCATTTTTCAGTTAAGCATACAAATGCGCATTAAAACAGAGTTATCAGAATAATTATCAAAACTACAAATATACAGAGTAAACAAATTGTTAGCAGTGTTAATAGATTGGATACAAATTTGATGAAATGTCAATCTGCTAACAATCTGCCAACATCAGAATTTAGGAAAATATTTTTTTATATAGATCTTGTGCTCTGATAAACGTTAAAGTATTGTTTGCCAATTAATCACATAATTTGCATACTTGTATATAATAATGTACTTCATAAGACTATTAGAAGTAAAGAATCTTTTCCGACCGTCAGAGCCATTAACCGATGAGCACACCATACCGTGCCATTCCTATAATACTATTACGAAGCAAAGAATCCTTTTTGGCTAAACCTCTTAACTGATCACTGCTTCCGATAACCCGCTTACCGCGCTTTCGAACGCGAAAACAAAATCGATTTTTACACAGACGTCAACGTACCTGATAAAACTTGACGATGACAGTGGTGCTTATAGCGTAGTAGAGAGCATTGAGCACCGCGGCGGGCACTTTGACCTCGACGCGGAAGATCTCGCCGATATAGGCGAGTGGTATCGGATTAAGGCCGAATCCGAAACCGAGCACGTAAATCACCACGAAGACCGTGGGCACCCACTTGAACCGAGAGACGTCGTAGCCGGCGGACTGCAGCTCGAAGAAAATGGCTATCGTCACCAGCGATAGCACGCAAACCGGGGTGGCGACCAGCAGCAGCAACCTCTTGCCCGTAATGCGCACCACCGTCACGCAGATGCTGCCGGCCAGGACGATGGCGAATCCCGTCAAAATGATGCCGGCGTTGGCCGAGATCTCGAAGCCGGCCTCGTCGTAGATGTATGATTGATACGCGAGTATCGGCGCCGCACCCGTCATTGTCAGGCCGCTCAATAATATCATGGCGATTCGAAAGGCTCTCCTGTTCTGCGCTTTGCTGAAAATCTCCTTGAACATATCCTGGAGGGTCATCTCGCTGCACTTGTCCTCAGTCTCTACGATTCGCTTGACCTCTTCGAGCTCCTCGTCCACGTCTTCCTTACCCAAAGCCCATTGAAGAGTCTTCTCGGCGGTGACGAGCTTGTTCTTTCGTGTGAGGAACACCGAGCTCTCGGGTAGCCACATGAAGGTCACCAGAAATAATATCGGCGCGCATAGACTTATCATCGCCATCGCGAATCGACTGATCCACAGGCCAATGGCGTAAATTAGTAGCATCCCGATGTTGAGCAGAACAGCCGTTAAAGTACCTGAAGGTCTCGCCTTATTTAGTGATGTTTTTTTTTTTTCGAATAATTATTTATGGATAACGTCACCTAAGTGCGGTGTGAGAACGATCGCAAAGTATGTAAATGTTAACAGCAACGTGAGCTATCCGTAACTATAGTCACCTAATACTAAATATAAAACTATAGATGCGTTTATATATATTTAAAAAAAAAAAGTACAAACTAGAGATAGAACAAACCGAGGCTATTTCGATCACCAGGCTATTCCGATCAAAAGAAAGGACAAAGCCACTGCGCAGCCAATACGCATTGTATGGTCAATGACAACGCCAGTGGTGTGAAAATATATTGTAGATAGTGATTAATTAGTTTCAATTAAATTTGGCTCCGTCATTTATTTCGATCATAATAGTACCGTGATCGAAATAACACCGGTCTACCGCTAATAATCATTATTATCTAATGAGAAATTAATACATTTGAAATTAACAAATAAATATATGTAATAAGTCTATTTAGAATAATAAATATATTAATGATAAGCTATATTAATATAAGCTAAGAGAGCACTGCATATAGGTGACGTGCCTGAAACAGTCGGTATCGTTGTACCTAAAGGACCTCTGGTTCGCTTGCTGCTTATCTCGCCGAGATACATCGGCATCACGGCGTAAGTGATGCCGCATCCTACTCCTGCGAGTATTCGTCCAACGTACAGCAACGGCACAGACGTGGACAGGCCGATGAAGATCCAGGAGGCGATTTTCGGTACCGTAGTGACTAGCAAGGTTCCCTTGCGCCCAATGTTGTCCATCAATATGAAGGGGACTAGCGAGCCGATGCCGACTCCCACATACATGAGATTTACGATCCAGGCGATCTCGTTGCTCGTCACCTTCAGAGGATCCTCGCCGTTGAATTTCGGTATAGTCGGCGTGCTCCATCCCTCGTGGAGGCCGCAGTCGATGATTAAAATACTACCTGAGAAGCGTTCACACGTCAGATTTTCTCGGGAGAGATATTGCTCGCGAGAGAATACTGTCGGATGTCGGGGTGATCCCATCTGGATACTTACACACGAATCCAATCAACGTTTGCCGCAGTATGCCGCGATCCATCGTGTCCGACGGTGTTTTTCTCGATCTCACGTTAACAATCACTTTTATCGGATTCTATCGCGGATACTCGCGCTAATTGTTAAACGGAGCGAGCGGTGATTGCCGCCGCGAAAGTAGCACGTGCACGAAGAAAACGCGACGCGATTACGATTAAATAACATCTCATGTGTTTTGTGAATGGGCACTTCTCATTTGTTCCTTTGATTGCACTTCCAGTTATTGTGATTACACGTATCTCTTATGTAAATGTATACTGTTGTCGAAACATCCGCCAGATGATGACTCATAAATTATCTCGCTGATGAAATCTGCTCGGAAGGAACTGCTGTACAGGAACAACGTTATCAATCAAATAAGCAAGTAAATTTCATCCAGCTTGAGTGTGCTTTAGCTTCAGCATATTTTGTCCCGGTTCGCGCTCGAATATTAAGGTCGCGCGAGGGGAGATTGAAAATGCGAAATTCCATCTTTGCTAATTATCGGAATGGCGGGAACGCGGGCGGCTGATCCTTTCTAATCTGGCAACACGGCCGACCTCCGAGCCAAACGTAGATAACGGAGATAAAGCCAACAAGGGTACTAACTAGATTCCGCGCCACATATCTCCCGGCTGAGGGTGCGATACGGTCACACGTGTAAACGGCTACGTCTGCACGCATGATCGCCGCCCGCCGCGGTCGGAGAGCACTTGCTCTTGCTTTGTGGCACGCGATGCAATGCCTCCCAAAGCGACAGTTTATGGCTGGCCATACAATACACCGGCTATTAAGAGACGGAGGTCGAAACTGGGTGCGTTCCTTAACATGAATTTATTGCCGTGAAATTCGTACACTTTGACAAGTCGCTCTTTGAAACAGAATATCTGCTTCAGCTCAATGCACCAATTTGATGATTTTATTCCAAAAAAATTATATTAAATAACTTATTATTTTATGTTATCACAAAAATAACTATTGACGCGCTTATGTGTACAAATCTTTTACTTATAAATCTTACTTTATTCAGTTCGTCGTGTTCAATGTAGCAGAAATATTCTTATTTAAATAAATGAGATCCGTGAATGTTCCTGATAAAAAAAAATAAGCAACTTCTCAACTTCAAGTTACAAAAGAATTACAACTTTGCTAACGAAGCGATGTAAACTCCGAAGTATAACGGCAAATGCTTATGCCAGTGCAATGTTTGAACTGATGTACTTCGCGTTCTTCATGCTTAAACGCTTTCAGCTAATTGTCGTCATATACTTATCGTCATAATTACTATTCACATATTGCTTGTCATGTTTTTTAAAAAAAAATCATATTTGTAGTTTGAAAATAGAGAAAAGTAAATATAGGCGATAATTAGTAAATTCATACCAGTTAATAAATTTTAATAAATCTAATCTTTTAATGGTACCAGTTTTTATTATCGCAGATAAAATGTCGCGAATGATACTAAAACGATAATTTTTTACGAGACTTAGAGTGATAATTTAACTGACTATGTTTTGCCATTTTAAAGCACGTGCCAGAAATGTTTTCTTACGCTCATAAAAAAAGTCGAGATGGAATTGCAACAATGTTAATACAGTGATTAAAATTACATTGTATCTTTTTTTTTTATTTCACGCGTTTAATGAAAGAATTCGTTCCCCTCTTTTATAACGATTAGAGAAAACACTAACACGATTGAACGTACAATAATTGCGCAATGTATGACTGGCGCGTGTTTCTTTTTGATATATTTCGTGTTTCTTTTTTATATATGCCATCCGACGATGTAAATCCGGCTCAAAGTGGATAACTATCTTTTGTAAGAGTAGAAAATAATAAGAATTTGCTCATTAGAACTGTATTCTTCGACCGTAACAAGGTAAAGAATATTTAACTTTTAACTCAGTAGTCAATGGTATTTACAATCTTCGTCGGGATCTCCAGTTTGGGTCTGGCTCTGTTAGCTTATGTTGAATTCCTTCGAAAACCGGTCAAACTCTCAAAACCAGTTAGTTTGCGTTCTTTTGTCTCACTAAAACTGGTTGCTGAAACGGCCGAAACGCGCCGAGTCGTTGCATCTTATACCGAGACGTTTTTCTCGTCGCTCGAGCACTTATCACCGCGATGCAAAAAGAAAGGCTCATGGCTATCACCCCAAGATCCTTACGTTCGGAGGTGTACAATATTTAATTGCGTGGTCGATGAACATTTAATCGCAATGTTCCGGATCAAGTGTACCGATCACGGCCGTTTGATTTTGATACATCATATTTACATCAGTGTTGTGTTGTTGAGCTTTTGTATACAGTTAGAGCATAAGAAACATATATATGATTTACTACAGCGCTCGGAATTAGTTGCACATTTCGAGCCGATTCTGGAGACGACGCCTCCTGTCCCCCCACTACCGCCCGGCCGCTGGCGGCCGAGCCGCCGATAGCTCTGGTTCAGGAGCGTTTTATATTAGAAATAGGCTGAATTGTTTAGGCATCTCTCAGGAAATCGTAACATTTTCTTCACTACATAAATAATGTTTATTTTCATTAATACATAATATATATATATTTA